AGTTGAAGTCTGCCACAGCCAGAAAATATGCTCCAAAAAACTCACCACTGGCAGTAGAGGCCCAGCATGGCCGTGTAATGACACTGTGTGTGTCTCTCTGTGTCGTTGTGTGTCTGTGTCTACCTCTCGCTCTCCTTCTCTCTCTCTCTTTTTCTCTCTCTCTCTCTCCTTCTTTCTCTCTCTCTCTCTCCTTCTCTCTCTTTCTTTCTCTCTCTCTCCTTCTCTCTCTCTCTGTCTCTCTCTCTCTCTCTGTTTGTGTATGACTGTGTCTTTGTGACTTGTAGGTGCAGGGAAACAGAATCGATGGAGGCGCGAGAGCCATCTGGTGGCCCAACCACGGCCAGGGAGTGGACGGGTATCACGCAATTCCCAGTCAAGACTCAGGCGTCATTGCACGAGCTGCTTGAAAGGCTTCGAAAAGATGTAAGTACCGCAGAGCTACTTGTATGTAGACATAAAGTCTTGAAAAATGCAAACTATGAGAAGCTGCCCCCCGAAAGCTGATGCAAGTGCAAAAGAAAGTATGATATGCCGAAATTTCTCAGCTATGAAGAAATTGCTGGATGGATGGAATGTCGACAGAACAGGCAGCTTCAACGATGGAGCAATGTGCTCTGTTGTTTTCGCTGAAGACAACTCCCAAGAAAACAGGAAAAAGAAAAGAAGAAACGGTGATCGTGACGAATGTTTGCTAGATTTTCCCTTGACACTGAAGGAAAAATGCAGCCTTTGTTTGGTATGTGTTGATTGCTGTCCTCAGATACACAACCCACAGTTAGCTATACTTGTGCAAAACTGGTTGATTTTACTCACACCGAACCTCCCCCCTTCCTCTCTCTCTCTCTCATTCTGTGTTTGTGTGTGTGTGTGTGTGTGTGTGTGTGTGATAGTTAGATATATATGTATCTATATCTATATCTACATCTATATGTATATATATATTGTCACATAACTATGAACTAAAAGAGCACAATTTGCGAAACAAACGGCAAAAATTAAAAATAAAAAAACAAGACAAACATGAAGGGCACAGTGAAACCATTCATTTTTCTCATTCTTCTTTTGACTCCTCTTTCACCGCGCCTCTCATGTACAAGGCTCGCCACGTTGATGAAGTTGAGCGCGAGCTGCCCCCATCCCTGTGTGCCATAACAGCCCACTTGTACGTTGTGAGAAAGAGGCGGAGTGAAGGGGGAGGGGATAAACACAGGGAGGAGAGATGGAGAGCAGACAAACAAAGAACGATAAAGGGAAAGTAAGGGAAAGTATGGAGTGTGGAGTGAAGATGAAGGCAAAAGAGGATAAGAAAAGGCTCAAGAATGAGTCTGTCCTTGACGACAGAGAGGACATACATTGTAAGGATGACGTGGATGAACACATGGAAGACCTAGCTGAGCATTCTCAGTGCAACAATTGCCACGACGGGTGGCATTGAGCATGCCCATCATACACCCCCGACAAATGGCGTGTCGATCGCAGGCCAAAATGAAAGAAGAACGGTCACCACAAAAGAGCATGCATTCAGTATAGCGCCCATGGCCGCAAAATGGACATATAGTGTCCGGATGCGGAGGGTGCCTGCAGTCAGGAATGGTGGGACAGTCCTCTGCACACATGGATGCAGAATAGAGAGAGAGAGAGAGAGAGAGAGAGAGAGAGAGAGAGAGAGAGAGAGAGAGAGAGCAGACGGGTAGGAGAGACTGGGGCAGGGGATGGCGCTGTCCCTTAGGAAATTGCATGTCGGTGTGGATGTAGGTATGTGCTCTCATGTGCAGAGCCTCCCCCTTATGATCTTTGTGCAAGGATTACCTGGAAAAGTGCTGAACATGCTGGGAACATGTTGCTGTGTGCAGAATAGGGACTCGCTGACAATCTTGTTATTAGGGAAGAGTGGTGTTGGCAAGAGCTCTACGGTGAACTCTATTTTTGGAGAGAGGGTTTGCATTGTTAGTGCTTTCCAGGTACTTTAATTTCTTTGCCCCCTTTCCCCCCTTCTCCCCTTCTCCCCTTCTCCCC